TATGCTGCTGTATATTTTAGTATATGAGTATATATATTTGTATATATGCTGCTATATAATTTAGTACATGTATAGTATGTATATACGCTGCTATATATTACCGTACTTATTTGGTTTTATATAAATATATTATATCTAGAATGTTGCTGTATAATAAAGAATATTAGAAAAATGTTTACAAATGTACAATTGTATTTTTACATAGTTGAGCTTGATAACAAATTATATGGAAAGGTTCGATACATATATATTTAACTTGTTCCGAACATTTCTTTTTTTTATGTTCTCACTCTTCACCAGAGTCATCATCACTCATCACCTGACAGGCTGAACACCACGTCCTCACGAAAGTTCGAACAAATACGACACGTTCGCATTTCGAACAGATTTAGTTAGATATCGGAATTTTGATTGGGTCAGAATGTCGTCGGTTGTTGGTGTATATTTTTTCTAAATTCCAAAACGTCTAATAATAGATATTATCGTCAGACAGGTTTTAGTATTCTGGTTTTTTGGAGAACTTGTTTCTTTCCATAAAATTATTTGTGTACATATCTCGAAATATCTTTCAATTATTTTTTATTTTGTTTTGTTTTTATATATATTGGTACTCATTCTTGTGAATGTATTTATTTTACAATATTTTTAGTATACATTTCAACAAGCTATTTCTTTTTTAAAGTGTGTACGTTTATACGGTTTAAAAGATTACGTATGCTGTATCTTTACGTTTTACTCGAAAGTGTATGGTCGGCACTCAGTATTTAAATACCCGATACCGACGATACGGATGAAAAAAACTGGAAAAAAAGGTTGGAGAGTTGAATCGAAAACTTTTCCTTAACGATACGGCATAGAAGGCCCAAAATTTATATATATCGGACAGTATATATAGGTGTAAATATGGGTACACACAATTCGGTTGAAATTACGACTCTAGGAGCCAACATAAAAGATTTTTCATTTCGTTTTAAATATTTATTGAAAGAAAGGCCCAACATTTCGGCTGGTTAGGGCAGAAGTATGGACTGAATCTGACCTTCTAAATCTATAAACACCAGTAACATGTGACCTATATTAAAACTTGCACTTGGTTTTCACCGCCGTATGCCCGTATCACATTCGGGGGCCGTGACCAGTATGGCGAATATTGTACTGGAAGCTCCGCCGGAGTCCCAGATTCGCAGATAGATTCAGGGAAATAAATATACGTAACAGGTTCACTATTGTTTTGGGCGTTTAGGTAGTACGTATTTGCACCCAAAATTGTCAGGAAGGGAGTAGAAAATCAAGTCGGGCCAGGCCGCCAGGGTGAAACACAAACATTCAATTTCAAAAACATAATCTTCTCTTGGCCGACATTCAACAAGCCTGTGCATGTCACACACTTTAACGATAGTTTTAAAGCAGGGGTGTTTGTATCGTATATGACCATATACCATCTTAACGCTTGAACATATCGACTACAAAAACATGAATCCCGAATAGTATGTAATATTGAATGGATATTGGCGTTACTGTATTGTATTCGATTTGTTGTGTTGTTTGAGAGGGAAGAAGATACTCACTAGTCCTATTGAGCACACTGTTGTAGAAAGCGAATGTATACGATCTTGTCATCGCACTCAAACATAACAACATTTATACACGAATGCAAAACAACAAAAACAGCACACGCACAAATATATATATACATATATATATAAATATATATATTAATATATGTATATATATATATATATGTATATTATGTATCTATATGTATATTATATACAGGTATATGTAATATATATATATTTATATATGTATATATATAAATATATATATATAAATATGTATATATATAAATATATATATATGTATATATATATATATATATATATATAAATATTCATAAATATATATATATGTGTGTGTGTACGTATGATACATAGTGTATGTTCATATATATATATGTGTGTGTGTGTGTGCGTGTGTGTGTACATGTGTACGACGCACACACATACACTCGCACCTATATATAAACTCGCACTCTCATGCACTATATATATACATATTTATATATATATATATATTCGTATCGATTTACACACATATTTATATATATAAATATAAACCATCTCTATATATACGTATGTGTGTATATATGTATTTAAATATATATATATTTATATATGTATGTATATATTAAACATTATATATGTGCACGTACATGTATGTATGTATATATGTATATACAATTTCATTTGTATGAATATCGCTTGGCATATAGTGTGCGTATATGGTGAATCACAGGTAGCTTATGTGCTCTTATCTGACTTGAATTCGGATTTCAACGGGCGTATCCACCGAGACCAAAAGGCGTTAAAAGATGTTTTTTTTTCTCTTGTGCCGTAATCCGTTCTTACTTTCAGTGGAGCTGCCTTTCATAGCCATTATCATCGTAAATGAAATTATCAACAATCACGGTAAATGTATATATGTATATATATATTCATATATATATGTATGTATGCATGTATATATATATAAATATATATGTATGTATGTATATATATATATATGTATGTATGTATGCATGTATATGTAAATATATATGTATTTATGTATATATATATATATATATATACTTGTACACGCACACGCATGTGTGTGTAAACATACCGACATTTATGTGCATTTTTCAATGGCGATCACTTCAATTCCAAACTGCTTCGTAATCCGTTTTCTGCCTTCTCTATCCTTTTATAGCGACTATCTTTTCAAGCTCCTTCTCATCGGTGACTCCGGTGTGGGTAAATCATGCCTGCTGCTCCGTTTCGCTGACGATACCTACACAGAATCCTACATCTCCACCATTGGTGTGGACTTCAAGATCCGCACAATCGAGCTTGACGGAAAGACCATTAAACTGCAAATCGTATGTAGTATCTCTTTTTCGGTATAGGGTGTACCGTATATTGTCAGTCTACTTGAGTTGAGTGTTTGTTCGTACGTGGGTGTCTGTTGCGGACCTGTTCTGATATTGCTACGGTAGTTGCATGATATGGCCATATGCGTGTGGCGTGGGTATGTCCTCCGTCTAACATCCGTGCCTCTTGTTTATAGTGCTCAGTTTCTCTGCTATGTGCGCTACATATTATATACGCATATCTCGCATAGGTATAATACGATCTTAATCTATTCAATCTATTCAATTCACATACATGTGCACCATGTGTCCTTCAAACTCGCCGATAGGCCCTTCCGTTCTCTCGCATAGACCCCAGCACCACAGTATTTCATTGCACATCAGATGGTTGTCTCTGTTGCTGGTTGCTTTTATGTTCATATCCATCACACCAAATATTTATCCTTGTACCTTTGCCGGCTGTTCTTGCACCTCGAATGTTGGCCACAGACACATTCCCTCCCTTTCTAATCCACCTGTTGTTGTACCTTGCAGTGGGACACTGCTGGCCAGGAGCGTTTCCGCACAATCACATCTAGTTACTACCGTGGCGCCCACGGTATCATCGTCGTATACGACGTCACGGTATGTGTATATATGCACACCTAGTAACAATTGTTCTCAACGTTATGTACGTTCTCGCGCTTTTTAAGGTATAACCCACGCGTCTTTTACATTGTTTACGTTGTTTTCAGAGTGTTACATACATTGTTCTCAACGTTATGTACGTTCTCGCGCTTTTTAAGGTATAACCCACACGTCTTTTACAGTGGTAGGTGTTTTTATCAACAAAACAACCTGCGTTCTGATGGCTTACGTGGTTGGTATTTGTACTGGTCTTGTGATGGCTCGAGCGCCTGTCGATAAACTCCCAATGCCCAAGGGGAGACGATTGAATCATTTACAACACACAGTTGTTCAGATGTGATGTGTGTAGTATAGCCAGTATAATCGTCTAACTACTGCTTTAATTTCCGCAATGTATGTGCATATTTTTATATCGTACAAATCGCTGACGACAATCACAATCTGTTTTTCTTTTAGGACAACGATTCTTTCAACAACGTAAAGCAATGGATGCAAGAAATCGATAGATACGCCAGTGATAACGTAAACAAGCTACTGGTTGGTAACAAGAGCGATTTGACCACAAAGAAAGTCGTAGAATATACTCAGGCTAAGGTACGTTTCCTTCCCTGCCCTACGACGATACGACATATATATACATGCACATATCAAACATTGAGATGTATAAATTTAATAGGTTCGTAATTATATATTTTTAAACACGCGCGCAAGAACACACATATATATACGTTATATATTGATGTTGTCATTTTACCTATCTTTATTTTGGTCAGCTATGAAAGGACGAAGTGAGCATGTGAAGATTGTCGATAAAAAAAATTATGTCTGCATACCTGTGCGTAAAGTTCTATCTCTCGGAGGCTCCCACGTAATATTCTATTGACTTCTGCTTCGTTTTTATTAGTTGTCACATACATGGATGCTCCGTACCATTCTTTTAGAGATATGTTAGCTCGAAAGTCCACAGTCATATTTATATTTGATTCTGTTCGATAGCTATGTACATGCCCAATTACGTTTATACACATATATTTATTTATATATATATATATATTATTATACTGGCTCGATTACTGATGGCTTTCTCTTGTCTCACAACCTGTAGGAACTTGCTGATCAGCTTGGTATTCCCTTCCTGGAGACCAGTGCCAAGAATGCCACAAATGTAGAGCAGGCTTTCATGACCATGGCTGGAGAGATCAAGAGCAGGCATGTCTCATGTCCTTGATACTTCTGCTATTTGCAGTGTGCTTGTATATAGAAGTTTAAATGTCCGTGTCTCTGTTCTCAGGATGTGTTCAGCTTGCAATTGTTTTTCTCATAACGGGCCGCCTGTGTGTATTCGTTCCTCGCCAAACTCTCATCACTGTGCGCTCTGGAGTGGTCTGGATACCTCGAGTGTCAGTTGGTTTGATACTGACTGCGGGTGTTTAGTGTATTATATGTTGGCCAGGGCCGTAATTGAATAGGGTTTGACCTCGCACCAAACTTTGGGACAGTGCGATATATCAACGGACAAGTATAACTTAACTCGCATGCATTTATAGAATCGGACAGTGCGATATATCAACGGACAAGTATAACTTAACTCGCATGCATTTATAGAATCGGACAGTACGATATCATTGGCTAACATGTATACCTACCTCGCTATCTATTTATAGAATGGGTGCTTCGGCTGTCGGTCAGAAGGGAGACAAGGTGACACTCGGTCCGTCGCAGACCGTTACCCCACAAGGAGGAGGTTGCTGTTAATTCTTATGGCGCGCAAAAGATCCCGTGTAGAAGGACTACCAGACGGTGGCATATGCTGTATGGCTGAGCATGTACACATGTACACAAGCGGCTATGTTCCGCTACATATATGATATATATATTTATATAATGTATATGGGGAGTGGGGAGCTCGAAGGCTGTGTACGCCATGGAGAGGGGAAGTGGGTAGACACTTGTAAAGGGAATCTTATATATATACATAGTACGTACTCGACCGACTCTCTACCTGTGGTACTGCCGGGCGTTATGGGGGGACACGGATGTATGTAATATCAACAGTAAGTGCCTGGATGAACTCAGATGCTTGGTGTTTACGTGCACAAACATAATAAAGCCTGCCTATGCGCGTTTTGGGATTTTCGGTGAGAAATTTGTTTTCAAATTGATTTTGGGTTCAATTAGTAGAATAAAGTTGTATCTGGTACACAACTGTTTATCAGCGTTGTCGCGTTTTATGTAATTATTATAACATGGTAAAGTGGTCTCGTTTTCAAGGCTGAAGGATTCAATTCACGCGCATTCTTCGCTCGAGAACTTGATATACACGTAGCTTTAAGGAACTTTCTGGTATGAGCCACACAACAATCGTATGCTCATAAACTTTGTATCGTACCTACCTTTCTATTTCTTCAGCAACGTATACATATCAAATGTCTACCTAAACCCTAAAACCCTCATGAATGCTTCATATTACCAAGTGAGAAGGTGTGGGCCCGCTCCACACATCACAGGCATAGGTATTGCTTGGTTGGGATTCACCTCAAGTGCTGCGCAACAACACTATGTTGTCACCAATACACAGGAGTTAGAATTGATATACTCTCCTTTTAGCAGCTGATGTTGGAAGAGACAGAAATTTCTACAGTTACTCCATAGATACTCTGGGTTACTATTGATTGTTGCCTTGTTAATTATACACCCGACTTTTTGTATATGCAGAAAGAACCAAATATTCAAGCACACATTACTCATGGATTTATATGATATACTCGCAAATGTATCTTGTCAGAGTCTATTTTTGTGTACAACTATATTTGTGTGTACCCGAATTTTATCAGAGTGTTTATACTTTGGCCTCAAAATCAGAATTTATGGCCCAAAAGGATCGGAACATCTGTACCTAAGTGAGCTACGAGTGCGTATATGTTGCGAATTGTTTAAACCTAACAAAGACAGATGAGGTGAACACAGAAGTATTGTATAGTCCAGGCACATCTTGTTCAGGTACCTGTTGATGACATGAAAATGAATTATATTTGTAACAAATAACATTATAAAATAGTATCACGATGGGTGGCTTCTTTTCTCATATGCATACTTTTGGAGAACATTTCGTGAGCGAGCGCGTATATCCACGGAACTACGCTAGCGCGCTGACGCCGAACGATACCGGTCATGTGAGCGTGGTGACGTCAGTGGAACACTGGATGCGTGAGCACATAGATCTCGTGTCTGGCGTCTTGACGCCAATGGACATAGGAGTGGGCACGTCGGCGTAGCATTGTGGCGTAAATGGACCGACCATGATGCAGACAAGAAAAAGAAAGAAAAAAAGCAATCTTAGATCGTCTCAAAACACAATGTAACGGTGAACCTAGTTTTATTTCCTCAATAGTTGAATAAACGTCTACCTTAGCGGAATGAACTTCTTGAATGAACTAAACCACGTATTTTTACTATCTCCGAAGGATTTCCTTGAGAATCCTGCCGCCAATCAAATCGTGTATCTACTCAATTTCGAGCCTACAAGTCCATTCAACATATATCGTCATCTGCCAACCTCCAGCTCATATTACCCCGCACTTCGGTTCGCAAAGCACCAATCATACACCAACCTCCTCTTCTTTCGAGCCTGCGCGGCCGTTCGCTAACAAACCGCACAATACAACTTAGAACTTTTCAAACTTATTAGTTTTCACACTTATAAGTTATCGCCCACACTTAGAAGTTCTCGCACTCTTATTAACGCCCAGGAACATTACCGAACAGTTCGGTACTTACAACACCAACATTGTTTTAAATCGGAGGTAAACATGGTTGACATTACATAAATAAATTCTTCATGTTTTCGATTTTCCTTTTTTTTTTCTTCTCTCTCTCTCTCTCACACTCACTCACTCTCTCTCTCTTTTCTCTTTTTTTTTCTCTCTCACACACACGCACACACTGCGCATGTATGGCGCCTGTAGTTGGTGCACTGACGCCTGTAGTTGGTGCACTGACGCCTGTAGTTGGTGCACCGACGCCAGTAGTAAACTGCTTCTGTACATATGTATACAGTGGTTGACGTTCCGTGCCTACGAGCTCCAGTAGCAGACCGTGTGTGGGCGTACGGACACAGTCGCTGTGTACATCGTACAGAAGTGTAGAGTGTATCCACGGTCGTAGCGCACGTCGAACTGTGCAGGAACATACATACGCCCTGAGCATGTCCAAGTCGCTGAAGTCCGGCCAATACAATATTGGAAACGAGCAGGCCGGCGTTCCAGAGTGAGACGTGGCCGCCAACGTCAAAGGACTTGCGCACCTAGACAATAACGCCAATGGTGTTCTATTGATCAGTCACTTGCCGAAATTCAGCGGAATTGGGCAAAGCGCGCAATCCTCGTTGTGACGCCAGAAACGAAGGTGACTGTTTGCCGAGTGCGCGATATACGCGCAATATGGCAGATTTCTGAGCGAATATGTGTACGCCCACGTGCAGTGCGTATCGCACTGTGAACAGAACGTGCGTGAAATGCTGTATGTTAGGTGCTAGTCGTGCAAGGCGTGATAACAAACTATATGGACATTTGTGTGCTAAATAATATATGACATATTGTTTTTTATTTACAACTCCACGTTACAATAGTTGATTTGCTCTGACAACTTGGCGTGAGCGTGTAGTACGGTGTCAGAAATGGTAGAATTCTTAGTAACAGTCTTACATTTAGATGTGGAAGCGTACTTGTGGCATTTTGGGCCATCGGCGGCACAGCTCAGCCCATTGTCGTTCGTAACCAGTAGAAACGATTTTCCAATCTTGACACATTGGCGCAGAGGCTGAGGCATAGTAGTATTGAAATCCGTTGTTGCGGTGGGCAAATCGTCCACAAACAATGTTTTCAGACATGGCTTGACGGTCGCGTACACGTTGCAGGTGACATCGCCTTCCTCGACTGATACACAAAAGGGGTGGCCGACTCGCACAGTTTGCAGCAAGACAATCCCATCGCCCTTTGGGACGCAGAAGGCTCTTATAAAGCCGCGTAATCTGTGTCTATCGTCATTCAGGCACTTTTTGACCACTCCCCGTGCAAAAGGATTCGATTCCGGGATGCTGCAACCAAATGTCGCCGCTGCAATAGCGGTTGTGACAATGACGATAACCGTGTAAATCACTTGTTTGTTGTTATTGTTGTTGGGAAGTGATATTTTGAACTTCTTGTGACCTTTTGTCAACTCTTTAATACGAGCGTGATTACTATGTCCAACCACATTGCACACATAACCGTGACAATCTATACAAATTGACCGCAAGATATTTATAGAAACTGTCCTTACAGACCCGCGGCGTTCGCGCCTATACGTCCGTCGCCCGGACTGGACGACAAATATTCGGCGGTTACATTTATATAGGACTACATATACGTAGGTTTTTTTATGGTGGTTTTAGAATCTAGACTTCTGTGTATGTAAAAATGGATTTTTTTTCCAATCGAATTCTATTATTAGGATACATGGTAAATATGTATATTTAGATGCTGACTGCGATTTATGCCCCGAGGTATGCCCTTTTATCTTGTAGTCAATAAGCGGCGACCTCGTGATGGAAAAGTTCATTATTATTTCACAATGTCTTACATATTCTTCATCACGACTATCGTCACGGTTGTTGCCAGCACCAGCGCCAGTACCAGCGCCAGCATGGGCGCCGACAACTTTGCCATGGCCAATTTAGATGATTACCATCTTGACAGCACCATACGATACTTCAGCGGGTTCCAGCGCCACTTTTGCCTGCAGACTGTGGATGGCCAGTACTCATCGTTTAGTACGATGCACCACAGGTCACCGGGTTGCACATCGGCCGAGTCCGGTGATGGCATCTGCACCAGGTTTGCGACCTTGGATGCGTGCCGCAAGTCTTAATTGGACCCGGTCAGAGCCGATACTGAGTCATTAGACTACGGAGTCCATCAGGACGACATACATTCTCCTTCCGCGCTGCGCCAGTGCGTACTGATTGATGGCAAGTTCATTTCGGCCACCAATTATCAAACGTTGTTCTGTGTTTCTGACAAAACCGGACAGAAGTGCCGCACGTATAGCAGTGAGTCGAAATGTATCCGTGCCTTGGCCAAGAAATCGCTACCGAAATTGACTGCGTACGACAACCAGCGCGTCAAGAAAACCATAAATAACTATACGCAATGGGTCTGATGACACTGTGTACACATCAAGCGTCAACCTGTTTGACATGTATACGAAGGCGTTTGCGGCCATATATTCGGGGTCGCACCATGACCGGTGATAGTTCGGCGCATCGACGTGCGAGACGAGCATCCGCGCGCGCCTGTTTTATGGCTGGACGCGGTTCGAGGCACACATTGGTGGGTACAGCAAGTCGACGACAACGCTGCTTTGGTACTATATTGTGCTGGCGTTTCGAAGCCGCTGGCGCTGGCGCTTGCGTACTATGGATCTCCGAAGCCACTATGACCGAGTGTCTACTATGTTCGAGTACAAATACGCCGTGGAGCGGGTCATGGTGCAAGGCGGTGGATGACATATGTGTTAGATCAAAATCAACACTATCATCGTGATCTCACAAACAACAGCAGTTTGGTACTAAGTAGATAACACAGGAGAACTGACAAATATTTCATTTATCAGTTCGGTACTAAATGGTACACAAGAGAACTGACAAATGTCAGAGTGTCAATATATTTATGATACTATAATAAGATTGTATTACACACTTACGTGTAAACCGTTGAAATTTATATGGAATATATAACCCTTGATAGAAGGGTAATAAAGTCACTCTATTCATAGTTCTATATTGTTTCACAGGTCATGGGCCTATGTAACTGAAAATAGTCTACTACACCATAGTAGTGTCTCCATTTTGTCCTATAGCCTTAGCACTCAGCTGCACAACGCGCCACACCGCCACAGGTACCACAATCACGATTATAAGCGCAATCGTCTAAAATGCCTCCCACTATTAATGTCTTCACCATACCTCAGGCCTTCGATTCTCTCGATAGATTGAATTTCACGACGATAATTGGCCTGGCTGTCCACTGTATCAGACGCTCGAAGAGGCAAAGACACACTTACTCAGTATTCATGCTATGCTAACTGAATTCGATCTTGTTGCTCACGACATCTCTAAAAATCGCCGTCAGCACCGCTGTCATCTCAGCTCATCTCGTGGTTTTTCGCACAATTGCTCATCCTATTAAAACAAACAGTGACCAAACCCATGACGACGTAACACACTACAAACAAAAGTCAGTCGATTTATAATACAAACTTAATCAACTACATGATCTTCGCACAAGCGATGAACGTGTAAAGGGCATCCCTAAGCGCCGCCTCGACGAAGCCCATGAAAAGCTCGCCCACACTGAAGCTCTGCTACAAACTGAGCTCAAGTCTGATCACGATTCATCTCGTCTTCAAGATCCGGTCACCACTGTTCGCGCCGACCTTCAAGCTGCCCTTGACCAGGTACAAGCCCTTCGTAATATTTTCAAGAAACCTCAGTCCATAGGCGAGAAATATGGCATCTCTCCCACTAAACCTGACGTAGCCATCAGTGACTGGCTTAAGTACAAAGACAGTTACAACTGCACCAAACTTCGGCAACTGGTTAATTGGTCTTCGTATGGAACTTAGACATTTTGGTGTTATCCATCGACTTCATCCCCAATGCAATGATCTATCCGCCGGCGGAGGCCCCGATATGCTCTTTTATGACTGCTGTCGCCGCATACTTATTGACTAAACTCCATCAATAAGTCGTTGATTAATTTCATTTACAAGGCACATGTGTCGAAAGCACCGCATGCCTTCTTTAAATACATCTGCCTCACCACCAATACTGGCAGTCATGGTCGCTTCTGGACTGCCATGAAATCACTAATCAATTTCATCGCCGCCGCCGGGTCTCCAGATTTGACTCTTCAAGCCGTAGAGGAATTCCGACATCGCCTTCTTGATGTCAGCGAAGTTGTTCCCGACAAGTGCCTTATTTGTGCTCTGCTTTATATCCTCGGTGATGACTACAAACTTCTTCGCTCTGATATTTTCAATCACGACATCGATGCCCTGTCCATTGATGATATCTACACGAAAGTCATGAAGTTCACTGGCGATCATCACCTCGACGTCCATACTTCTACTTTCGGCTTAAACGCGCCCACCATTGGCACTACTCCAACAATCCAACCAATGGTTCTTCACGCCGCAACAAGCTCTGCCCTATATGCGCTAATCCTGGCCACAGTATTTTTGGATGCCCCGATTATATTTGTCGCCGTTGCGGTTTCAACGACCACAAAGGTAACAAGTGACCAGTTGATCGTTCTACTCTTTTTTGTAGCAAGTGCTCCCAAACGGGTCATTAAATGCTACCGCATGCCTCTCCAACTGATGCCACGGGGTCCACTGTGGCGCACATTCCGGCCCTACTCACACTCTCCCCAAACAACCCGAATTTATCATGTCCACAGAGCGTTACACCGCACATAGTAGTACTTCTCGCAATGGACCCACAACACCCACCTATATAGCCACATCTCCCATTAATTCGGACGCCATGATTCATACCCGTAACACCACTACAGGTGTCATCGATCTTGAACAAGGTCACTTTACCGTGGAGTTCCCCGATAAATCTCAAATCACGCTCACACAACGTGGCCACATTTCTGGACTTGTCCCCGTCCTCATTATACCGCAAGCTGCACAGGACATCCTCTCTGTGTGTCTATTACGACGCAGTGGCTTTCCCATCACCTTTGCTCTTCAACGCGATACATCACACCCTACCGAGTGCGTCATCCACCACCCCAACGGCTGGCCTTTACAGAATTACTACTTTCGCGCCTACAACACTTCATATTTGGCATCTTGTCACTGGGCACACACACCCTCGCATGCTACGAAAGTTCTCGGTCAAAACAATATCGACACGTACACACACTGCAGCGAATCAACTGATAATTGAAAATTGCACCCTGATTGATTTCATCAACATGTAATCGAGCCCTTTGACCCCGTCGACATCGAACTATTCGCTAGCAAAAACAATGCTCAAGTTCCCCAATATTGCAGTCTCGAAGACGATGCGCCTCTCTACGAAATCAATTCCATCTCTACGGCAATATCCCATTCATCAAGAAGGCATGGACCGCTGCACTCAATAAGCTTGACCGTGAAAATGGCTCTGGCACCGTTGTTTCCCCCTCTCGCCTCAAAACAAATGCTATCAGCTAACGTTGCTACAGTTGCACTAATACGTCCAGATTATCCGGACAACATCCGACACGTTTCTCTGAAATGGCACCGAAGTGGTACACGCCCCCCGTTGACGTTATATCTGCATTGCTCGCCTCGGCAACGTTAAACACGCCGTACCGCCTACAGCCGAACATCTTAGCGCTGAAGCTGATGTTCTTACTCACCCCACAGATTCGTCTTTCTGTATTACCTGCGCTACCGGCAAAATGCGTCGACGCCCCATTTCTCACACACTTAAGGATCCAGCTACTCGACCTCCGATAGGCACACTGTTCTATGTCGATCTTGAAACTGGCCCCCCTTGTTCCGTTGGTGGCTGTACATCCAACATTAAGTTTGTGGATGCGAACTCCGGCACACTTTTCGTCTATCCCTGAAATTCAAAGATGAGGCTGCAGACGCTTGATCGATTTTATACTGATATCGGCAAAGACAAACTGCCCATACTCAAGAATTGAAGTGTGATCGCCGCGGAGAATTCACCTCTCCAGTAATAAACGCTACGCACACGTGAAAGTATGATAGGTCCTGGCCAACTCCCCTGCTTTACATAGTCTCGTTGAGCGCGTCAATGACAGCATTAAGGATATTATGGTTAGCCTCCTTTACCGTTGTAAGCAACCAGAGAAAATGTGGGCCGAAGCCATTATCTCGACAACAAGTCATCCTGGGAATTTTTTTTATGGCGAGAAGCTTCACTCCCGCTTGCAATCACTGTATGTTTATGGCTGTCAGGTTGCTTACGTCAATCAGGATCCCCAAAGTAAGCTTGATGGTTGTGCTCTTCTCGACGTTTATCTTGGTCACGACCCTCAGTCGAAATACTATGACGAGTGTCGCATACTCAGTGCAAAGACTGGTCGCATATGTCACTCTCGCGAAGTTGAATTTAATGATCGCGTGTTCCCAACCTGGACAAATGTTGGTACTGCCCCTCTTCCGCAGTTCATCACACCCCGCGAAGACATCCTTGCTATCCGAGAAGTGACGAAATCCTGTTGTGCTACTGCGCCTTCTGCTACTCAGACTACCCCTCCGTCCGCTACCGCCGTTCCTAACTCTACTCCTCCAGGACCCCCTCTGCCACCAATCCTGGGACCACACCAACATACCTGATTCAGGCGAACCAGTTTCTCCGGCCAAAGGGGAGGTTCCCGACCTAGCTTCCACGCCGGTCTCCAACCCAACTTCAGGGGAGCTTCCTGCCAATGATTCAGGGAACGATTCCGATACTGCCTTCAACATGGATGTTATTCCTCCCACAGTCTACGGCTCTGACTCCGACAACGATGACTCTGTCATTCCGACGGCCATCACTTTCCCCTCTCCTCCGCCACTTCCCCTGAATCAATGCCGATCTTCGATCTCATATTACCAAGCATCCTACATCGCGCACTCTTCGCAACCTTCTCATACGCTCGCGTGCTAACTCTGAACCCTCAAATGCCCCACCTTCACTACCTAGTATACGCATGATACACAGTCTTATAACGCCATTGCTCTCGTTTCCGAGCACCGCCCGCCACGTCGCGTCAAATGGCCTCCCGACATAGATAATTTCTACTTCGCCAAAAACACGCGAACGCGCTTGCACACCTTCACCGTGCCAATCGCCAAAACAAGGCCGATAAGCAGCTTCGCCGTGCAACCTTGCAACTTGCACGCCCCGTGCAGACAACGTCTTTCAGTCCATTCCTCCCCTGCCGTCCAGTCAGATTGTTCTGACGACCCACCCGATGACATACCTATCCCACTCACCGCCATCGCAGCATACGTCCCAGCGACAACTCTACAACGATACGCTGCCTGCTTGGCCGTTCAGTCTAATCCACTCACTTCTACCTCCATTCGCGAAGTACTTCGCGGTGAGGATGCCAAACTTTGGCGCGCCGCCATCACGCGTGAACTTGATAGTTTCGTTCAATCAGCCACGTATGACCTTCCCTGAGAATGCTTTCATCGTTTCCAGCAAGTGGGTCTTTAAGATAAAGATGAATGATGGCATAGTAGATAAATACAAAGCGCGATTATGCGCCAGGGGTTTTTCTCAAACACAAGGCATCAATTATGATGATACCTTTGCTCCTGCATGTTCTCTTGAGACATTGCGGTCTGTCCTCGCTGTTGCCGCCTCCCAAGACTGGTAAGTTGCCCAGATGGACGTCAACACCGCTTATTTTTACTTATCTACATGTGACCCTCTCTAGGTTCTAGCTCCGTCAGTCTACCTGACAAATCTGTCCTTGCTCTCAAAAAGTATCTATATGGTCCTAAACAGTCGGGCCGACGCTGCCACGCCCCTATCAAGTCTAAGCTTCTCGCCATGGACTTCACCCAGAGCAGTACAGATCTTTGCCTATTCGTTATCAACACCCCGGACTTCTCCTGCGTTTTTTTTGCTCTATGTCGACGATACTATCATCTGTGGTAGAACTGACTCCGATGTTGCTCACTTCAAACATCTCATCACCTACGAATTCAGCTACCTGGCCGGCCTCACTGCGTAAGATTCGGTCTATTAAGGCGATATTAACGCCTCAGAGTAAATAAACGCGTAGGTAAATTCTAAGTATCGTAAAAATATCAAAGTAAAT